GGTTTAAATGAATACATTTGAATAGTTGACTGACCTAATTGATAAATTTCCAAAAATGGTGATCAAAATGAAAGGGGCAATAGTTAAGTGGTCACTAGTATAGTTTACTCTTTATTTTAAATAATTTACCTTTAATTTTTTAACTAATTTATAATTAAGCGTTGAGTACTTTAGAATTTTATTTTTTTATAAATTAAATTTAATGGTGTTTATCGTTAGTGATTCTCATCGAGCATGGAAGACTCATTCCCAGATATAATACTCTATTTTTTTAATAATCTAAGGTGATTACTAGGTAAGGTCTTTTAGAATTTTCTTAACTAATTGACATTGCACACACACACCTTACAAAAAAAATTATTCGACCTAAAATCTCTAAAAACAACATTCTATTTTATTATTGATTCCAATTGATATGATGATATAATAATCTATTTTTAAAATTTCATCGGTACATTAAACTAGATAACATTATACTTAGTTTCATTAAAGTGACAAATATAATATTTTATGTAACATCCCAAACTACGGGTTAGTGACTAAATTATAAAATTTTAGAATTTTGGGATAAAAGTAGAATAATTGAATAGTTTAATTATTTATGTGGAGATATTTTCTTAAAGTTGTTAATAATTATCAAAGAAATTAGAGGGTAAAAGGGTCATTTGACAAGAAAATATATTTTTCCCTTGATAAGAATGAATTATATGGGGGTGGGGGAAGAGTTATCTAGAAACTCTCCACTTCTTCTTCATCTTCTTCCCTTCCCCAACGTGAAGTCCCAAGCCAAGGTGAGTTTCTTTGTTAGTTAATTATTTGTTAAATTTAAGGTTGGGTTTTGATCATTAGATGATAACTAAGCTTAAGGAAAACTTAAGTTGTCTTAAAATCAAAAGATACAGAAGTTATGAAAGATTAAAGAAAATGGGTTTCAAAGTGAATTTCTGAAAAAGAGTTAATAAATCAACTTTGAGATTGAAGTTTATTTGTCATAGGTGTGAATAAGAAGTTATAAGTCTTAGAATTAAGTTTGGATAACATGAAAAATTGGGTATGATTATTAATTCTAAGAATCATATTGAAATATGGAAGATTATAAGGTGTTGGAATGATAGGAATTTGGTTAAAGTTGTTATAGATGAATTTAGTAGCATAATAAGAATTGTATACATGAAAAATTGGGTGAAGTGTTGATGATTTTCGGATGCAATAACTCAAAATGAATAAGCCGTGCCCACGCCTTAACTAAAGACCTCTTCTGCGAAAGCTCAAAATGAATAAGCCGTGCTCACGCCTTATGAGAAAACTTCTTCTGGTCTTATCATATTAGAATGTAATTAGTGCATCGATACACCCCCTTAAAATGAAAACATCGAATGTAAATCATGTACCGATGCATGGGTAGTGCATCGATGCACATGTTAAAGGATGCATCGATACACCCCCTTAAAATGAAAACATCGAATGTAAATCATGTACCGATGCATGGGTAGTGCATCGATGCACCTGTTAAAGGATGCATCGATACATTGTGCAATGTACTGATGCACTTCAATGGGAAATAGAAGTAAAACTTTCTTTTCAGTCTGATAAGTGATAGATTAGAGTATATCAATTAGTATACTGATATGTATCAATGTATTACTATGTAGATATAGAACGTAATCTTGTTTCAGAACAATCAAAGAATTAGGATCGAATCAAAGAAAGGCTAAGGTGAGTGCAATTTAATTTGTACTTATAAAACGAACATTGGCTTGCGATGAGCTAGTGACAGAGTTACTATGGTAAGAAGTAACTCTTAAAATGTTATTGTATGTGACATGAGTTACATAATTCTATGTGTATGTAATATGTTTAACATGTTGTTCTATGTGTTGTGTGATATACATATATGTGCTTACATAAGAACATGAGAAATAAAATAAGCTATGTGATAAGGATATAGAGAATGAAATAAATGACATGAAAATGTATGTATGCTTGATTATATGAATTTGATATATGTGATGTATTTGAAGCATATGATAACATGAGATGAAAATAATTTACATGTCATATGAACACAAGAGAAGTGTTATAAGCTAAGTGACATATGATTATGAAATCATATGAAAAGTGACATGAAAGTAAACTACGTGATTATATGCACATGTGAATGTGAATCATATGGAAATGTTTTACGTGTAAGTGAATTATGTGTTTATGTGAATATATGAAATGATATAAAGAATAATGCCCATGTTATGTGTCATGAGATCTAGAGGTATAGTTGGCATGCCAAGAGTAGAGGGTCTACGCAGTCCTTTGGGATAAATTCTATGTGGTCCTTCGGGACGTATATGTATTCTTTGGAGCATGTATGAGGTCTTTTGAGACACTTACTTGATCCTTGGTATATGTATATGATTCTTAAGAAATTTATATGTGGTCCTTATGGACAATCTTATATGGCACTACGGTGCAATTCTACGTGGCACTTCGGTGCATTTCTACGCGGTCCTTCGGGATAATTTCTATGTGGCACTTCGGTGCAATTTATACGAGCTGTGGTGACAGCATTTGTGCACAACCTCAGTGTACTCACATAACTTCAGTTCTCACCAGTGTACCATGGGCTAATAAAGAGACACTAATAAATACAATATATAAGATGCATATGCTTGTGGTGATATGAAAGGTATTGCATGGATTATAGGATGCTATGTGTGTTTCTTTGTGAAATATATGTGTTCTATGATATGTATAGAAATGTTCAACACATGCTTATATGATCACAAGGAATTAGTAACAATAATATGAGTATTGAAAGGCATGTTAATGATATATGTTTTTATATGAATGATAGTATTTGCATATGTATACCTTTTGTTTATATGAAATGATATATGGTTATAGTTTATGTTTAATATGCCTCACTAAGTCAACGACTTAGCGTGTGATTGTTTCACGCGTAGGTTCCGAGAAGAGGAAGATTGGTAAAAGTTATGCGAGACAGGTCAATTTCTCCTTTCCAAAGATCAGATCAGAAAATAAATGTATAGTATGTCTTTTGTAACAATGATAGTGGTTGGCATGTAAATAAAGGTTTAAATCCGATATGTTTTAATCGGTTTTGTAAAATCATATGATTGAATTTTATAATGTTTTAAATGTATATATATATATATATGTAAATGGTAAATGTATAGAGATGGACATTTTAAATTTTATGAATTTATACGTATTTTACGAAAGTTACTGTAGCAGTACCGTAGCAGGGTATCGGTTCCCTGTAGCAGGGGAATCGGTTCCCCTCTTTGAATCTGGAAAATTTTAACATTCGGGTACTATAGCAGGTACTGTTCATACGGTACTGTTTATACGTATTTTACTGTTCATAAATACGTTTTTGATTGGAAATTTTATACGAAACACAATTTAATAGAATATTGTGGTATTTTCCTAAAATGAGTTCAAATATTTTTGATATTTTGTAAGAAAAAGGTTTTGAAAAGTCAATGAGACATCTCAGACTCGTATTCGGCTCGAATACGGGTTGGGTGTTACATTTTAAGGCTAAAGTATACAAATGATTCTTTAACTATAAGACGTTACTTTATTGAGTCATCTAATTATTAAAAATTATAAAATAATCATCTAACTATAAATCACTAATTTATTGAGTCTCCCGGCTATTAAAAGTTACAAAATGACATCAAGTTATTCATATATTTTGAACTCGTCCTTTTCTGTTAAAAAATTAACAACTCTCTATGATGAACCTTAATATGCTAACTGAGATATGTTAAAATCTTATCCGAGAATCTCAAACGAGCATGAGATCAAATTTTATCATATCCTAATTAGCTATTTAATGTCCAACTTAGACAACTATCAATTTTTTAATAGAAAATAATAATTTTAGACTATATGAATAATCAAATGACTAGTTTGTAACTATAATTTATGAGCTATTTTATAACTTTTATTAGTTAGTGACTCAAAAAAATAATATCCTCACTTAAGGATGGACACTCGACCATATTTAAATATTATACTTTACATAGTTATCACTCAATTTAGATTTAGAGAAGTTTCATCTCATTTAATTTTGATTCGATCTTTGGGATAAGAATCCTAACCTACACTCACACACACACACATATATATAATAAAAAATTATTATGATTATAATTATATAAAGAATAATTATTGAGTCGGAATAAAAAAAATCAATCTAAACCTAAATCCAACTCAACCTTATTCTTAAAAAAATCAATCCAAATTCCAGGCCCAATACAGCATGCTTGGAATGGGAGGATATGTTGGACATTTTGATTTTTAAATTGTTTTTTCATTTGGTGAATGGTTTTTGGATCTTTCAATTCAAACCCTATTTCTCTGTTAGTTTGGTCCTTCCGTGAGTAAACGAGTTTTTCTTTAATCTTACCAACCCGCGTTAAGAAACTGTTTGTTATCGAGTCTTATTACATAAAAGAAGATTCAATTGGGATAATAATTTAATTTTGATTTCACGGCCTAAGATCGAATATTTATATGCAGCACACACGAACCGGTATCAAGAAAGAAAGATAAAACGAGATGCACGAAGACTAGAGAGGACCTAAGCCAATCAGTGGTGGTGAGGAGGCAAGGATTCTGTTGACACACCATGTGTTCTTAAACCATTGTTATTACAGTTAATTTACTGATGGAATTAAAAGGAAAACCTACAACCCCGTGTGTATACGCCAAAATGCTGGCACCACGATTTCAATGATTTCATCTTCAATCTCGATTTCTCAAAGGCGCTTGTCTGCTTCTTCAAACTCGAGTTAAGCTGAATATCTGAAAAAACAAAACAGGGAAATACAAAGATCAAAAACACTTCTATTTTCATCTTGCAGACAGTCATGAAGTGTATAACAAATTCAAAGAGCAATCCCATTACCTGTTGCCACATCGAACCGGTGAAGTCCCATCGGTAGCACTAGAGTTGTCAACCCGGAACCTCTCTGCGTTTTGAATGCAATTCTTTGATGTTCTATTTGAGAACCCTGAATTCTCTCGTGTCACAGCCAACATCGGCCACCGAGTTCATAACAACTCCACTCCTACCTTGAACCTGATATCTTTGGCTAAATGATGGATTATAGGTTTCGCAGCCGGAATCCTTATCAGGTGTGTTATGTATTGCGTTTAGCGAAAGCCTGTGCCCCCGATGAAGATAACCTTGAAGTAGAAAATCGACCTTCGGTTTTCCTCCAGAACTTGGGACTCAAAAATTCTGCATCAGGCAGCTTGCAACATGTGTTATCCGGAGAATCCGTGTTTGGAATTCTACCACTTGAAATAGCCAAATCATATGATATTTCATCCAGAGCCATTTCCAGGCCATTTACTCGTGTCTCTAGAGAATTGATCCCACTTTGGGAGCTCCCAATGAATTTCTACAATCAAAAGAACAGCAATAAGAAATTATATGAAGGCATTACCCTTTGAAAGAGGAAGACTATGCAAAGTAAACTACCTGGAGGAGGTTTAATAGATTGGATTGTTGGTCTTCAATCTGAGCAAGTTGTTCACGGATCAAAGACAGATCCTCCATGTCTTTGAGATTCTCGTCAACATCTAAGTTCTCCTCATTATCATGAAAAGGAATCACCCGAGACTCCGATCTCAAACCACCAAAATTCTGTACTTTTTCATCGTTGACCTTGACAAAGGGTACACACTTTTTGGTATTGTCATCATAGGAAAGCAGAGATTTCGACTCGGAGATTTCAATTTTCAAATTAGATGATTTTGAGCAGTCCGGCTTACCAAAAATCGACGAGTTACTGTTCCCGTTGTTACTTTTCAGTGGAGTCTCTTTCTTCGCATTGGAAGCATGAGATGGAGGGGACTTGCTCGTGGGGACTACTTTCTTTGATTGGGGAGTTCTAAAACAATCATCATTGATATTTTTTGCAACTGAAGGAAAGCATCCAACGCTACCATTATCTGTTCCCACGATTAAAGCACACAATCATAAATGATAAAAGCTACTAGTTTATAGCAGTGGTAATCAAACCATAAATGTTCTACAGCAGCACGATAATAGCAACCCTTAAACTTTCCAAGTTTTAAAGTGAAACTTGTTGAAGAAATTGATCACTCAGATTGAAGTATCAAACTATTAAGGGTATAGATAATGATGGTTAATTTCCAAATATCAGGTAATTAATGACTTGTAGCTACAAAATTTATCAAAACCATGAGTAATATTCTTCTATTTTTTTCACTTAACAGGAAAGGATATATTATTAAATGACTTCGTAGTAAGGATACAAACGGATGCACCTTATCAAATCTCTTGTTCTCAAGAGTGTCGTAACTGGTTTTTGTCCGGGCACGAATTTTTTAGTTGGCGGGAAAAGTGATGTTAATAAATGGTTTTTTTTTAAATAATTTGGGAGTCGCCATCAGCCTTTTGGGTTAGGTAGGTCGAATACCTAAAAATTATCTTTTAAAAGAGTTTTAAGAAAACATCAGTTAAAAGATGAACTGATCTGCGTTTATAACCAAAAATTCGTTATTTTTAATAATAAAAAAGGGATTCGTGGTCGGTTACGTTTAGGGAAGGATTAGCACCCCTACAACGCCAAAAATTGATACTTTTTAATTATAAATTGCCTCTAATAATAGAATTTAAGAATTCAAATATTTAATTTATAATTTTGTTATCTCAAATTTATTACTATAATTTTTAAGAAAATCTAGTAATTTATATATATTTATAAGTAAAATATTTATTTATTTAGAAATATCAGAAAATGACTTCTAGGTGCCTTAAGACAGTTCTTTTCTTCGATATTAAATATTAACAATATAATAATTTAAATAAAATAAAATTATAATTTTTTATAATATTTAATTTTAAAATACCATAATAGGACATCCAGTTGTATTAAGACTCCCCTTTTCTTTGATATTGAAAAAAATAAATAAATATTAAAATATGATAAAAAAATAATTTATGTAAGATCAAATTAAGATTTAAAATAAATTATTATTTATTATATATATATATATTTATATGACTATATAAAAATAATATTTAAATATATAAACAAGTAAAATTAAAACATAAATAAACAATAATAAAAATAAAATTAGAACTATATATTTAAAAGCAGTAAAACTTTATAATAAATGAAAATATTTAAAATTAGTGACTAAATTATAATCTAATAAAATTAAACCTAATTCATGATTAATTATTTAAAATTACAGGGATTAAACATGATATTCTCCTTATTTATTAATTTGCTGACTAAAATAAAATTATATAAAATTCATATATCAAATTAAAATAAATTGAAATATGTTGTTCGGGGTTTAAAATATCAATTATTAAAATTAAAGGACTAAATATGATATTTATCCTAAATATATTATTTTAATATAAAGGACTAAAATAAATAAAATTAAAATTAAAGAACCGAATTAAAAGGATTATAAATTGATTTAGTGACCAAAATGTAAGGATTACAAATTAGGATGGCTGTGGAAAGGGTTTAACTTTTAGTTAATTACAGACAGACCCCTCCCCAAAACGACGTCGTTTGGGGAGGGCTATTTAAACCCCTAACCGGCTGGCCCGAAGGGCCAGCTCTCATTTCTCTCATTTTCTTCCTCTCTCTAAACTGAGAGAGTTTAAACTCTCTCTAGCTTCCCTCATCGGAAGGAAGCCGGCTACCGAGCGGCAGCCGTCTGCCGCCGTAATCCCCACCGCCGGCCACCGTTTCTGGTGGTCGGAAAACACCAAAATTTCCCAAACCTAAATCCAAGTACCCTAAACCCGATTTTACCCTTCTTTTATCCTAAAAAGTTATGGATTTTCCTAGATCTAAGGAAAATACCTTCGGTATTTTTGGTTCTCAGGCGTCGTTTGGGGTTTTCCGGTAAGGTAAACTATTCCTTCTCTCTTCTCGGTTTGATTGCTGGTTGTTGTGAGTTGGTCTCTATTTTTTTGTATCTTTGCTCTCTGTTTGGTTGCTCTGTGGCTGTTGGTTGCCTCCGTTTTTCTTTGCAGGTTCGGTGGTGGCTTTATAGCCATCACCGGCGCTTGTCCCGGACCGGGTAAAAGAGTAGAGTTCGGTGAGTCACCGAACTTCCAGTGGTGACTCACCGTTGAGGGCAATGTGTGCGGCTATGGCTTGGCCTTCTGGATCCTTCGGTTGGCGTCGTGGCAGCGTGGTAGCAGAGGTTGGCGAACAGCGGCCGCGTGGTCCCTAGGGTATCATTACCCTAGGGTTTGTTCTGGATGAGTGTGGGCCGTTGGATCTCTCAGATTCAATGGCTGTGATGCTGAGGCGGCTAGGGTTAGATGATATAAACCCTAAATTGGGTTTAGGGTTTTCTAATAGGTTTGGGCCAGTTTGGGTCATCAGGACCCATTTGTAATTGGGCTCCGACTTATGTAATTTGGGCATGTAATATAATAAAATTAATAATAAATAATAATAATAATAATAATAAATAATAAAAAACCAAATGTAAAAAAATTAGTGTCTTCAACTGCCCCTCTTTGCTCATTCTTGTGTTAACAAGAATAGAGCAAAGACAAAAAGACAATAAGTTTTTTTCATTTGACTTTATTTGAAAATGTTGAACAAGTTTTTCTTTGGGATTAGTTCTTCTTATTATGAACTTTTCCACTGGGGATGACAATTTATTTCCTTCTGTGATGTAATCTAGCAAAAAGTTGAACAAATTCTTCTCATTATGAACTTTTTCTTTTTCTTCAGATGAGTTCTTCTCATTATGAACTCCTTCTGGAAATGCTGGTTTTGAAAAGAGGGGTTGTTAATTTGGCTTCATATGTGATGAATTAAGGCAAGGTTGAACAAATTCTTCTCATTATGAATTTCTTCTTTCTTCTTCAGATGAGTTCTTCTCATTATGAACTCTCTTTGGAAAAGTTAATCCATCAAGTGATGAATTCAAGCAAAAGGTTAAACAAGTTCTTCTCATTATGAACTTCTTCTTCCTTCTTCAGATGAGTTCTTCTCATTATGAACACTTCTGGAAATGTTGATCCATCAAGTGATGGATTTGAGCAAAAGGTTGAACAAGCTCTTCTCATTATGAACTTCTTCTTCCTTCTTCAGATGAGTTCTTCTCATTATGAACTCTCTCTGGAAAATGCTGATTCATCGAATGATGAATTCAAGCGAAAGGTTGAATAAGTTCTTCTCATTATGAACTTCTTCTTCCTTCTTCAAATGAGTTCTTCTCATTATGAACTTTCTCTGGAAAAGTGTATGCTAATATATCTCCTTCTGTGATAAAGTCATGAAAAAGGTTGAACAAATTCTTCTCATTATGAACTTCTTCTTCCTCTTCAGATGAGTTCTTCTCATTATGAACTTTCTCTGGAAATGCTGATCCATCAAGTGATGGATTTGAGCAAAAGGTTGAACAAGCTCTTCTCATTATGAACTTCTTCTTCCTTCTTCAGATAAGCTCTTCTCATTATGAACTTTCTCTGGAAATTTTGATCCATCAAGTGATGGATTTGAGCAAAAGGTTGAACAAGCTCTTCTCATTATGAACTTCTTCTTCCTTCTTCAGATGAGTTCTTCTCATTATGAACTCGACCTGGCAATTTTGATCCATCGAATGATGAATTTGAGCAAAAAGTTGAACAAATTCTTCTCATTATGAACTTCTTCTTACTCCTTCAGATGAGTTCTTCTCATTATGAACTCTTCCAGAAATGTTGATCCATTGAATGATGGATTTGAACTTTGCTAAAATCTTGGAAATTTCTGTCAAATATTCAACATGGATAAAATGAATGAAAATGCTCCTATTTTGCAAATGTCTAAATATGATGCATGAATGTTGATGCAATCTTCATTTGAATTCAAAAAGGTGAACTCGGTTTTCCTCCACTTCATCATTTATTGCCAGGGTCACCTCTGGATATTAGTGTAGCAACTTATGCTATCAAGCTTGCATTTCTGAAGAACCATCTGATCAACTTGTATCTTTATGTCTTTTTTGCTTCATAAAAGTCTCAGAAGAAATGTTTCATTTGTGGAACTCTTGTCGTAGTCAGAACTATGACCTTGATTCCCCATTTTGTCTTGGATAAAACCAACTTTCTTTGCTTGGAGTTGTGCAGAAATCCGATAAAGCTTTCATCTTTGAAAAGAGAATCTGTCATCTTTAAAAAGGGAATCTATCATCTTTGAAGAGTGTAGATGTAGATATGCCTGACTCAGCAGGGATTAATTAGGAGAGTAGAGTTTGTTCTGATTTGACTCTTGAAACACATCACAAGGAAGATTTATTACAATTCCTTTCATGTCTCCACATCTAATCCAATCTCGAATATGGCAACTTGGACCATATAATGTCGAGATGCTTAACAACAACCTGTCGTTCAATCATAGTTGGCTCCACTAGTTTCTTGTTGTTAAAATTTCTGCTTACCTTCTGTGGAAAGAAATCTTCATTATATCTTACTTCTAATCTTGGGGTTGAAGAAGACAGATTTCCTCTTGGATCAATAAATGGAAACCATATGAACGTAATATTGGTTCAGCATCAGAATAGCAGGTTTGTAAAACATTTGACAACGCATTCATCCTTTCTTGTGGCTTCTGCTCAGATGTTCGTAAAACATTTGACAACACATTCATCCTTTCCTGTGGTTTCTGTTCAGATGTTCGTAAAACATTTAACAACACATTCATCCTTTCCTGTGGCTTCTGCCAAGATTTCTCAATCATTGAAGCTCTTTGCCTAGTGTTCAAAGCTTTTGAATGATGTCACAAGACCATTTGAAAACAAAACTCAGTGGGGATTCAAGTGTAATGTTGGTATGACCAAAAAGTTGGTCAAATTCACAAAATGTGATGGTGTCGAATTGAATAGGAGATACCAACAAATCTTGATATCATCTCTAGAAAAGGCAAATGTGATACTGATCATGCTTTCTTTCATAATGA